ACAAGCACTGAGCATACAGTGCTTATTTATATACGTTGGGTACGGGCAAATCGTTATATATAATTAACATCTTCCCAACGCAAAAATTCATCTTGAAAAAAGGGTGGTATTGTGAAAAAAAGCATGGGCTGAGGGATGCATATATACACATGCACATGTGTGCTGTACTAGAGGTGTCCACTTTTTCCTTACCATCTTCGTAAGCTTCCAGTTTTGTTGTCACGAGGGCACTGGTAATAGGGGTGATTCACAATAGTGTGTCACCGAGAAGTTGCCACGAAGAGTCCATTTTTCAAGTTTACAGTCGACAAAAGCATGGCTGCCTTGCCAAAAGTTGCATTTGAGTCTGTAACTTCGGGAATGTTTGGATAGATTTGGACATATTCCATGCAGTCAGGAAAAAAAAGGATTTTATGCAAACTGCTACTTGAACTACACTGACAAATCTTTTTTCCTTAGTTTCCCATGCACAGATGGCTAATAGAATTTGTTGATTATTTCCCATAATACACTTTGACAAAAGGCTTTCTATGGCAGCCTCTCAGTGGCACACAGTATTCTGAATTGTCCATATTTAATTATGCATGAGGAATGAATAAGGCCCCTTGTGTTGATGTATGGTCACCCAGAAAGCAGGTGCTTTAATTGGATATGTGCATGCCACTGGAGAGTATCTGGGGATGAATTGGGAGGTTTTACTGTTCTGTCTAAGGGGGGTATCCACCAATACAGACCCAATGCTGATGACCATCCAATGAAATGTCAGACCCCTGGGGAATGATGCCACAAGATGAGAAATTTCTCCCAGGCAGAAAGAATTAGTTCTGTAACCACACCTGTGACTTTGATTCTGGGTCAAAGCAATTACTGGAAGAAACAGTTTGGTAGCATTGACGCAAGTCTGGAGTTGCCAGTGACAAAGACAGAGAAGAAAAAAAAAGCGTTGAGATGATTTCCATTTTTTCAACTTATCACCATTATCATGAAATAGTTCCCCTGGCAGTGGAACACCACAAGGGCGTTAACACTGCACGTGCCTGTACGTAAATGGTACATCATGTATATCGGCTGTAGGCGTACCTCCCACTTGCAGTCCCCACATTGGTTACTGAAATTACGCATATGTCCCGCAGAAACTCTGATCTAAAGGTGTTTTAGTTACCAGTATAAATGGCCTCACCCTGCCCCCCCCTCAGTAAAAGCCCCAAGCCTTGACATCACACTGCCTCCCCTCCCCTCGGGCAGGACGCAGACCCACAGTCTTCAGAACCACCCACACTCCAACAGGTGTCCACCCGCTACATCCCGAGCCCTCCTCCCCACTACGCACGTGGACACAGCCCAGTTCACAGCAGCCTCTCTCCCTCTCTCTTTTGAACTTTCTCGCTCTTGCAGACGGTGAACATCTTGGAGCAGCGACTGACTATGACGGAGAACAAGTTGAGGGAGGTGCTTGACAACCAGCAGAAGATAACGCTGCAAGTCAGGCCCACCGAATAAACCCAGGGGGGATTCTCTAAACTGCACTTCAGGCGTCATTCCTTCGTAACTCCTCTCAACACAAAGGCCCTTCTTTTTTTTTTTTCCAGAGGAGTAGCCGAGCGCTTACATGCAGCATACTGGCAAGCTGCAGACTTAATTTTGTGCAGTAAAACTGGTCACCAACCATACAATATTGCCACTGCCGTGTTCAATCCCATGTCAAACGTTTTGTTTTTCAAAGCGGATGATATTTTGGGCAGAATTTCTGTGTGCTAATCAGAATGAGCTGTAGGTCGATCACAGATGCCAAATTTTGCCCGACCTCCGGGTCGGAAGCGGTAGCCTTTTGTTTACTGAGCAGGTCTTTTTACGATCTGAAAAATTTCGCCTTGTGCTTAGCAGCTCCACAGTGTTCTTGTTATTGTTGTCCAACTTGACAAAAATGTTTTGAATCACATTTCATGGGTTATGCACACGTACCTGTATGGCAGTACAACAGATTCACCTTTTTTTTACGCGTGTTAAAACATGCCCATCGACAACACTTATGTCAGAAAGTCTGGAGATTTTTTCTCAAATCCATCTCTTCCGTTCTTTGTACATAATTTTTATATACAAATTGTACAGTTTGTAGTAAGGTTTGTAAGTACACCAACTGGTGTTAGCTTGCAGGATTTTTTGTTTGAAATTTCTTAATTGATGAGGATTGAAAGGAAAAGCTGTGGTTTTTTTTTCCTCTGACATCACAACAGTGCCGCATTGCACAAGACAGAGACTCTGATTGGGAGTTTCTACTGGATTGTTCTTGATGGCCTCTTCAAAAATGTCTTTCTCTGACCTGGGGGTACTTTCAATTAGTTTCCATGGTAACAGATCTTGCCCGTCATACTGGGCACGTAGCTACACAAAGTACATTGTAACTGAGTAACTGAGGACCTACCCCCACCCCCTCACCTATTGACTAGAGGCATGGGTCGCTAGATCATTTCAGGCCCCACACACTCACACTTGACTTTTTTTTGTGCTGATCAAAAACAAAGCCAATTTTGCCACAGCACTAGCTTCATATTTCTCTCGTACAGTGTACCTGTATGTGTTTTGCCCTTAGATTTTGTTAGGTTTTACATATTTCTTTCTTGACAGGCCTACTTGCCAATCCCCCCCCCCAACCCTTTCATCATCAACACCCTTGCAGGTAACCCTTCAAGTGCGTAGATGTAAACTGTCAAATTCCTTCAGAAAATCTGTTGACTTGTGCAGGACTCTATCTTTTATGTTAGAACTTTAACCGTTTGACCCAGCTCAGATTACTGATAGCATTTGTCTCTTTTTTTTTTTATTGCATGCACGTGGGTGTAGCATTGTGTGCATGTTCAACTCCACGATAATGGCGATGAGAGAAAGATTTCAGACCACATTGTTTTCGGTGGGTTGGGTGGGGTGTGTTATTTGTTTTGGTTCGTTTTGTCTCGGTTTTGATGCTCATAATTCTCTCTTTTGAGTTTGCTTGTTTGTTTTTGGTTTTGTTTGCTTTCCTTGTGCAGTATTATGTTTGATTTGGTCTTTGTGGTGGCTACGTTGTTTAGAGTATCTGATTTTCACGTCAGTTGATGATGAAGAATGCTAGTGAGGCTCGTACTTGGTAGAAGTTACAATCATTGTTCATTTTTCTCAGGTCTTATGGTCAGTGCTATTATTTTTCCATCATCAGCACAGAGTTATTGAGAAGCAAAGTCTTGTTCTGGTTATTTTTACAACTCAAACCTGTCAGCTAAGTTTGCTAGTGAAAATGCATGCATTGACTGCACCCATCTAGTGAGTTTATGTGCCGTCACCCATTTCCACCTGAAAAAGAAAAGCATTTTCGAGAGAGCAAAGTTCATTCTCAACCAATTTGATTGAGTGATGATGGCCTTAAAATTGTCTGCTCAAACTACAGAGTTGTAGCAAGGCCTTAGATTTTTTAGGGCGCTTCAGAGATACATGTATAAGCCAGATCCTTCTAACACTATATAAGCTGCCCATAGAACTGTCGCAGCTGAACTATTTGTTATACTCTCTGTATCACCAAGTGATCACAATGCCTAAGGGCATTCTTCAATCCAAGTGTGTGAAGTTATCATCCAAAAACAAGAGTCTCGTCTGCCGAAGGCTTAGAGAAAAGACATTGCCAGCCGTACACAAACAAAAAATCTTTGTGAAAATACCATGGTAACACAACACCATTTATTTTGCATCTCGGCTTACATGAGCAAAAACATTGAAGTCTTGAAAAGCCCTATTCAGCATGACTCCGATAAATGGAACAAACAGGATGTGATGTCACTGAACACGTGTGCTTGTGAAGATTCGCTGGCTTTCTTCTTTCTTTTTTTTTCCAATTTCCCCCCCCCCCACATTTTCACCAGTGCCAGCACCTTATTTATCCACTTGCTCGAGACAGTGGCCGGCAGGGTAAGATTATAACCGTCCTGGTCGTCGATCAAAATCAAGAGAGTTGAGGCTCTATTGGGAGAAGACGGACAAGACTGCCGCGAAATATGATCGCCCATCGAACAGAGATACATAGTTGACTGAAAGGTCTTCCATGCCAGTTGATGTCATCGATATTCGTGTTTGTGTGCAAGTCATTTCAACTATATGGGTCAGATACAATCCCTTTTATAGTTAAACCGTTACAGCGGAAAGAAAAACAGCTCTTGAGGTTAATAACAAGCCTTTTTACTGGCGTGGATACCAGGGGCCTGTATTTTTTGGGTGGTAACATACTGTACATGCACTTGCATCGACCTTTACCTGGCATGCTAAACTTACACAGTGCAGTTGATGTTTTATCAATACACACAGTGTATCAAGTACTAATGCTTGTAGTTACAGGATAATTGTAACTGTGTTGAATTGTTCCAAGATGGCACGTCATGTGTCATGTTTCACAGTGCGTCAAAATTGTTTTAATCTCGGTATCATTCCGTTCATATATCATTTACCTCCATGGGACCAAATTCCCCTCGAATTCAGAAATATGTGAAGTATCCATAGTCAAAGAATGTCTAACCCTTAAGTCAGAGATTGGTTTTATCAAGTGAATAAGGTAAAAACTTGCAAATGGATAGAAGGGGAGGTGTTTGCCTTTCACCTCAAGGGTTGGAATAATTATATGAAGCATGAAATCCAGAAAGTAATCTGAAAAGGATTGTATATTTCATAAAAGGAGATCTACAGAAAGGTCACAAGGCATTAGATATTTGTGGACTGAGGTATGCAGAAATTATACTAGCATCTAAGGTGATTTTGGCTTACATTTTGCAACTGAGCACGATTTTTAGGGTAAGGGAGGGGGGTGAAGTTTGGAAAGGGGGGGGGAAGTGATCCCCAAACACCAGTCCTTTAAATAGTCCCTAGTGCAGAAGAAAGAGTAACAGCGTACATATACACACGTACATTGAAGGCATGCTACGGAGGACGAAAAGGGGCCGTCTGCTTTTCTGCTATCGGAATGTTAGAAAAGCAGATTTTATGTTCTGGTAACATGCAATTTTGACTTTTCTACTTTTCTGCGAACTCAAAAAGCAGAATGAACATTGTTTGATTATGCATTTCTCTAATTTTCTGCTTCAAGAAAAGCAGATTTTACTTCTTTTTCATTCGATGGCAGCCGAAAAGTGGCCATCTGCTTTTCTTCTCCTCAATGGGCAGTGAATGGGGTCATGAACCTGTAGGTTACGACCATTTCCGTTTTGGGGGAGTGAAGACTATGGAAAGCAGTACATAACCGCGCTCTCTCGAGACCAATCCCATACGGCAGTATCAGTGTCCCCGTGAGGCAGAGAAAACAGCATCTCAAAGGAAATACAGTTTTACAACTATCATCCAATAGACACACAAGCTTGCTTGGGCCAAGGAATCGAAAACGTGTGAATCTTTCATCATAAAAGATAGGGTGGACTGTAATTACTGGTTTATACGTCTTCAGTCCCCAAGAAAGGAAATGGTCATAACCTGAGGTTCACGGCCCTTGGAAGGCAGAAAAGCAGATGGCCACTTTTTGGTCACCTATGTAAAATCTGCTTTTCCGGTATCACAAAAGCAGAAAAGTTGAATTCACAGTTGTCATCCAAATGTTTGATCCAAATGTCTGCCAGCTTGAAAGCAGAAAAGCAGATGGCCGCTTTTCGGCCGCCAGCGAATGAAAAAAAAAATAAAATCTGCTTTTCTTGAAGCAGAAAAATAGAAAAATGCCTAACCAAACAATGCTCATTCTGCTTTTTCAGTTGGCAGAAAAGTCGAAATTGCATGTTACCAGAACATAAAATCTGCTTTTCTACCATTCTGATAGCAGAAAAGCAGATGGCCACTTTTCGTCCTCCATAGGCATGCACATGGGACTCGGGAGGGAGACTTTATTCTATCCTTTGTCCCACCGTCATATCAACCACAACCTTCACCGTCCATTTAAATTGGTGGATCGACTTCTACTTTTATCTAGAAATCCAAGGCATGCACAGCCCGTGCTAACTTTCCAGCAAGTGCGGCTTGCTTTCCTGACATATAATTATTCCACAGGTTGGGCCAATCACAATGAGCCCGCTGTGGACGAGGAAGTTTGCAGTCAGCTTTCTGACACGCATTGTATTTCCCATAGTTTCAGACAGTATGAATGATGTTCCATAGGGCTGGTGTTCCCATTATCTGCACAATTGTTGAGGCGACAATGACATGAGGGCTAAAAGTATTTCGTTGGGGGTTGACCGTGAAGTGGTATGTACATTCATGGAAAAGCCTTCCTCCGTGGTACATGTGTATAGGCATAGAGTAAGGACCCTGCTCTATGATATAACTATGAGCATAGAGAAAGGACACAGACATTCCTGATTACGTAACACACCTGCTTATTGACCAATCAGAACCTTGGTGCTTGGTGTTATTTGAATTTACACGACAGTAATTTCCTACTTTACTGCAATCCGCAGGAAATGTAGATGATATTTGGCTAAGTATGTCAGAACACTTGATAATACTACTTAGCCGGACAGATGCGCAGTATGAATTATTGTAGATAGTCAGTTTCATAGATTCAGTTCATTCATACATTGGTCTGATAATCTATGATTGTCACCATCATCTGATGTAATTTCTAGACAAGAATGGCTATTTTAGGGCAGAAATGATAAATTTCTAACTTGGGAATATGAGCACCGTACAGATGATTTTTTCCCAATTCAGCTCTGTCGCAGTATGGGAATGGTCTGGGTAACTTTGTTAACAGAACTCTCAAGAACAGAGATTAAAAACTGTCCAAGTGGAGACTCCTCTGGCTGAATTTAGAATTTGGAAACACCGTCTTACCTTTTCATTTTTTGCGTCGATCAGTACCTTTTTCCCGAGAAATTAAGAAATATTTTGGAACTTTTTGGGGTTTGAAATTTATACATACAGTGCATTGTCGAATGAATGCACTTCAGCACCGTTTCAATAATCAGAAATTCTCTTTTTCACAAAGGGGGAACCGTTTGGATAATTTCATAGACATTCCGTCGGGGACTAGTCATTTTAATAGTGCCCTGTATTTGGTACCATAATTTATGTTACTAGATTGAGATACTTCAGAAGTGTTCACTGAATAAAATATTGTACAGTTTGACAATAGTTGATATCCGTTAATGCCTATTGTCTTGTTCCTTGTTTTAGGGCGTTCGTACTAAATGGGTCTCATTTCCAATCGATCCATATTTTTGGCTGTGCTCTGACCGAGGAAGAAACCTTTTATAATTCTGCTAAGAAAAAAATGAAACGAAGAAAATGATAACCTTAAGAATTTATGGGAACAAGTACATGTAATTTTACTTTACCCAGCCCCTCCCACCGACTGACTCTCCTTCAAGGTCAAGAAATATGAGAACCATAAAATAAACGACAAACGCCCTGGCCTGTCATAGTCTCAGCATATCTGTTCCTTGCTTTATGGTCTCAGTCAACGTCAACTGACACTTTTGGGCCACATTTTGTTTTTTCGGTTGCTTGAGAAATGAGAAAAATTCACTGCCGAAATTTTTTTCGGGTCGGTGGTCCAACACTACATGTAATTCGATTCACTTTATAAAACCCCTTGGGAAATATTCTACCATCAAGGAATTGCCAGTCGTTACTTTTTTGGAAAAATTATTCCCCCCTAAATAAATACTAGTTGAATCATACGTGTACCATGGGCCACTCGTCCAAAAACTTACGGTATTCATGTCTCAGTGACGGATTAATAAAACCCACAACAATAGCAGGCCAGCAAAAATTGACCTCTATACTCCCTATGTCGCACTGGATTACACGCTGCGCATGCAACGCCTGCAGTTTGTGGATCAGAGGGGAAAGAAATCCCTGAGGCAACTTATTTTTTTTATTTATTTGCATTCTGGGCGTGTCATTGGGCATGACCTTGGCGCGCATTCTGGACCGTTCCATCTCACATCACGGGGCAATGCGATTGTGCAATACCGTACGTGCAGCTTTCATGTTATTAAACTCGATGTGAATCCATCGCGTAATTCACTATGCCGGTATGTGCCTGCATTTTGTTTTATATCAATTCTGAACATTTATCTGAACAACTTGCGAGTATTTTTCATCCATGGCGTAACACCATTCCCATGGAGCTGTAAATAAGGATGCCCTATCCCGTAGATTGATATTGTGCTATGGTTCAGTTTTCATTTGTGTGAAATATTCGATGTTCGGTTCTTTTGCCGTGAATTTCGGTTTGAACTCAGCTCTCCTCTTCTCGAAGTATTTTTACCTTGTTCTTTCGCTTTAACTTTTTGAATCTTTTCTGGATGGAAGAAGCACCCCACGTGATTAAGTATTTGATTCTCTTCAAAGGTTCAAACACACAGTGCAATTCCATTTTGAAACTTAATTTATGCTTTCATATAAACTTGCCGACCAAGAGTTGAACCGTTTAAGTTTTGACTGCTGAACAGAAATCTGAGCACTTATTTCGACGTGGTGCACTGCAAACGATGCCTGATCACTTAAAGTCATCTCTCAATGTTTTAATAAGCTTTACTTTAAACCGAGAAATAGCCGTCAAATACTGTCAGCTGTTTAACTTTATGGGGTTATGCGCTTTGTTCACTTACTGCAAATAAAACTTCAGAAGTCTGCTGATTCCGCATCTCAGTGCCAAACATTCTTCCCACTGAAAGACATAGCACTCCCCCTTTACAACAAATAGAATCTTCTACATAATATATTCTGGTCGTTGTCCAATGAGTGTAAAAGGTAGCCCAGGCAACCATTGCGCCTCGCATAATACTCGTTTGCGATTGGCTAACTGATGAAAGGGTCGTTTGCTACTTCCGATCCTTATCGAATTACCTGTCAATCAATCCTGATCGAGTTTACTGAAGATTTCCCCTTCAAAAGTGCGCCGTTCAAGTTGTCCTGCATGGGTAGAATATACATGTACATGTGTGCACTCGCTGCAGCTGACGGCTGTATATATGGACCGAGAAGAATATGCGCTCGCTGCGGTTGGTGCAAATTATCTTGCAGGCTGAAGATTATGCCCTTCTCTGTGCATTTCTCTCCCATTTCAGCGTTTGTTGTATCTGAAAAGGACCGTGGTGTGTAGACCTTGACAACAAACGCATACGGATCCGTTCCACAGTGATTTATGGAAGTTTGAATTCCAGCGTTCTTCATCGCGGGGTGTTCGTGCACACCTCCCATAGCGCATACAAACGAGGTCGCTGTGCTGTGAATGGGTATCGTACGGGTCTCTACGAGTAGTACCGTTTTAACACGCTGACATCTTGACGTGTTGTCGGCATTACACTGCTTCATTATTGTGTAGCCTACTCCATGGCCACATGCGCAACGAGTTAGCCAAGGTTGTTTTCGTCCTTGCTCTTTTCTGCTACACCTGTGCCAAGCCCGCGCCACGTTGACCACCACACGTAATTCTTCGTCCCAGTATGCCTGAGCAGTCTGACGTCTTCTTTCGAGACATGATGGCACTAGCTACGAGTCCGGAATGCCTCGGAAAGCAACTCCTCGACGGCGGCGAAGTGATGCTGCTGGACTACCGTCCAAACTCGACCTACACCCGGTCGCACATCGAAGGCGCCTGGAACCTCTCCGTGCCCGGCATTTTACTGCGGCGTCTGAAACGCGGCAAGGTGGCGTTCAAGTGTCTCATCCACGGCGACGAGGGTAAGGAGATGTTCGTCCGGAAGTCGCGATCGGTGCCTGTAGTTCTCTACGACGACGGCTCGACGGACGTGAACGCCAACTCGGACTCCCCCTTCGTTTTGTTGCTCAAAAAACTCCAAGAAGAAGGGTGTCGTGCTACATATCTGAAAGGTGATGTATCAGCCTAATCTGCTAATATAATAACATTTCCGTCATTTTTTTTCATAGGTTCTTCCATGTAGTTGGGGATAACAATTATTGTCATGTTTGTAAAGGTTTCTGACTGACGTTCTGACGTTAGACATGAAAAGATCTAACATTATTCAGCATTATCTGAAACACTCTCTGTCAAATATGTCTAAAACTGGTAAAATGTTGAATCAGTCATGTACTGATTCATTCAACATATTCAACCCAACCTGCCAACATCAGACATGTCAGTGATCCCGCAAACTGGTAGTCCGAGTAACTTCGACCCTACAAATTGCCTTTTTAAAATATTTGTTAAAAAAGACAATTTGTAAATTGTAGGATCGAATTTGTAAAAAAAAGGCGATTTGTAGAGTCCAAGTTACTTGGACTAGCAAACTGGGAAAAAAATGAAATAAGAGGGTAAAAATGTCGATTTGGAAAGTTTTATACATGTACATGTTATTGTGTTCTGATCTACATCATACATGTCTGAGTGATACAGAGATAAACCATGTAGGCCTACCACTGCAGAGGAAAATAATGTCATGGTGTTGTTGTATGGACCTATTTGCACAGATTTTTTCATGAATTTGTTTTTCTTTCGACATGATCGCCCCTGACATGCCTGCCTGAAAACTAGAAAAAGAATGTAATATTTTCTGGCCTTCAGGCAGTTGAAGTTTTCAGCCATCATTTTTCTTTTCCTTGTCTTTTTTTTTTTTTTGGAAATGTGTGATAATCAATTCATGTCATTCATTTATGATTACATGAAGTAGTAAAGTTCTGCTGGTGTTACCATGATGCTGCCTAAGCTAAAGCACAAGCAGAGTGGAAGAGGAAAAGTGCCACCTATCGATCTGCTTATTTAAAACTTGGTGCATTACGATTGGTCATGCTAATGTCAGGAAGATTTGTTTGTGTGACAGCTTCATCATTTACATTGTCCAAGTGCAAGTGGTAGCCAGGATAGTTGACATGGTGGAATATTCAACATCGTGCCACTGAACGGCTGCCCATGTTGAAGACTTGAATCTGGCTTCTTGAATAATTTTAGTCAATTTACACATGTACATAGATGCTGCCATCTTTCTAGTTCTTTGTTGTGGATGGACATGTATGTATACATGATCATGTGAGCCCACAACCTAGCTCAATAGACCCATCCAAAGTGTAACAAGGAATGGCAGTTGACGGTTCAGCATAGCAGTTCAGCATCGTTTGTTCTACATGTACATGTATGGTTTTTAATTATAACCATGTAAAAGATTCAGTATTGCGACTGTATTCCAAGAATTGTGTACGCAGAGGAAGATGTGTGATCCCCCTGAATATATATAATTACATGTACATGTAGATCCCTCCATTCAGAGAGAGAAAAAAAAACCCAAGTTGATTGAGAAATCGAGAGAGCTGCCACAGTGGATGTGTATGGTGGGAATGCGGCCACAACACAAATCAAGTGGCGGAGCTTGTCAAATGGAGAATCAGCTGTCATCCATTTCCTGCCTGGCTGTAATGTGACTCTGGCTCATAAATTCCTTTCCAAGCAGGGAAGAGTCTTGGCCTCCCCATGGAGATACTGTAGGGCCCTGCTTGATCCTTAAAGAGGTAGTTTGGGCCCTCTGGTTTTCCTATTCTAACCCCCCCCCCTCAGTCAGAGCCATTGACCTAGAACAGATTGGGTCCTGTGGTTTATTTACTGAGTTCTCCCATATGAGGGTTTCACCCCACTTGATTGGTAAACTGTGAATGCGAAATAACAAAAACATGTGGAGGGAGTAATTACAGCTGGTCTTGGCAGCTCGTGGATGTCGGTAATGCTTGATTCCATGCCACCCCTTACACAGTAAACAACTTGAAGTTACATGTAAACCACTGAATATAGTGGCTAAATTGTATCATTGATGTTAAATTCAACCATCTGTGGTTCCGCTTTGTTCTACATAGTTTTTTTTTAATGAATCATGGGTCATTTTCTGTATCACCAGTCCATGAACCTATCAGAGCGCTGTTATGTTCTCGCCTTGAATGAAATTTCTAAAAACATCTCTGACCCATGCAGCAGGTGCATTGCCGCATCTTAGAAGAAAAAGAGTACATAACAGTAGACCACAGTTTTGAATAATTTAACTTTCCGGCTCGCCACACTGTCCACAATCACATACACTTACAGTGTACAGTGATAGAAAATAAACCTAAACGCCTCAGCTTAAATGCAAAGAAGCGAAGAAAATGCATCTTTAAACTCTGGGCAGTTTGCTCAACTTAATTTTCCACGCTGTCGTTTCACACTGATAGCCGACCCATGACATTTTCTGCAAGTCGATTTGTTGTTGTGCGAAAGTCAGAGAGATTTACACATGTAGCCTACTGTATGTAGCATACATGTTCATGTATGTTCAAAGTAACGTTTGGTAAGCTCTGGGCAGGTTATTTTATCTTCATTTAGCCTTCAAACCGTGGGTTTTACGTTTGGAATGAACACACAGTTTCAATTTCAAGCCCTTTATAGTCAACTCTCAGTGCAGTACTTAGTAATTGCATGTACATGTATGTTCAGTATAATTTATGGTAGGTGAGGCACCACACTGAATACAGAACCGACATCCTGTTTTTGAGGTTTATAAAGTGATACACACTTGCCAGGATCTGTACAATGTAGACTTTTAAAAAAATAATCCACATCCTCTTTGATGCCCGATTTAATACAATGTATAAGTTACCACCTGTGTACCTCTGGCTTCTATAATGTACATGTACAGGTAGAAAAAAACGGCAGTAGGGTTCAACCGCTCTGTATTTCTTTTCTCTTTAGTTCCCTGTTCTAAGCACAGCTTTATAGAGTGGTATTTTCCGCTGTGGTACTTAAATTAAGTGTAATCTTTGGGGGTTGGGGCCGTTGGCTGACTGCTGTTTCTCGTCTCAAAGATTACACACGCGATTAATTTAAATTAATATAAACAGGTGTCTTATTTTGTAAAGCATCAAACTTTGTAGCTACACATTTCACTTGTGTTTTTCTTAGAAAATGTCCCTTTAAACTTGAAACCAATGACAGGGGACCACATGGCACTCTGGATTTCCTGTCCCATCTCAGCAGGGGGTGACAGTCCAAACAGGATTAACCCCACCAGACATAACACAGTTTGAATTTAGGCTCAGACAGGGCCTCCAACATTGTGGTAAGAAGATAATTGGGATGATAAAGCTGGGTTTGTTTGGAGAGCACATGTGGGGGGGGGAGGTGATTTGTTCAATGGTTCAACATTATCTGCAAAGCTTCACCAGTGATTAGTAGAATGGGCAGGACTGAGTCATGCTTGACACTGTCAAACATGACACTCCCAAACATGACACTCCAGGAATAAATGTAAAATGGAAGCTTGAAATAAGAAATGGTTGGAATTGGAAACGCTGAAATTTAACCCTAGCCCCATAAATTTGAAGATGACGTGTAATCATGGAGCAGTCTCAAGTGTAGACTCTGCAACAAGTGGGGAAGCTGGTTTGTTCTCATTCTTCACCTGTGGACATTTTAACATAAATTTGCCACTCACATCTAGCCATGCACCTGAATCGATTGGAAACGGAAACCACAGCATTCATGGTCCTTGACATGTACATCCATCAACTTGAGGTCAACTTGAACTTTTTGTACTTAATTTTAGTGTACTAAAATATACACACATTCATGCTTTCATTTTTCAAACCGAAAGGATGAAACTGTGACTGTCCGTAGTTGATTACATGAATGACTAAATAGTTGAAATTTAATTTGTTAGTCAGTGATAGGTGCTGTTGTTTCTGTAGATCAAGATTACATTATTGAGCCCACGCACAGATATGAACCTTCAGTCACTGATAACAGGAGTAGGACCAACCTTGAGATTAAGGGGGAAAAATTGTTTCTCAGCTAAAAAGAATTTGAACAGCAGTGCTGCGGGGGAATTTTTCATGATGGAGATGTCCTGATCAGTGACATCCAGTGTGTTTATTTTCTTAGGATGTCAGGAATGCTGTGTGTCATTAGAGGTTGAAAAGTACATTTACTGTACACATAGAAAGATTCATATGTGACCGAGATACATGTAATGCACTTTAGTGTGTTCAATGTGAGAGTGTGCACAACAACACATGTATATATGCACAGTTTTTGTACCTCTTTGTATGTGAGGTGCATATTTACATGTACCGATACGTACATACATGTACATGTACATGTGCTAAAAATAGCTGCATTGGTGGTGGAGGTTTGGGCAGGAAACTATTGCACTGAATTCAGTGTACCGTGAAATTATTTCAAATTCTGTCCTTGGTATCCTGGAAATTTCCATTGAAAGGATTTCCCCTGCCAGTAACTTATGAAGGAAAGCCCCATTATTCAATGATTCTTTCTGCCCTCTGTGTTAGTATTTTTCACTTATCCTTTTCACTCCATGCTTCCAAGTTCATGTAAAATATTGGTATCGCGGAACTTTCGACGTCACACACTTTTAGGAGTGGTCCCAATCCCTGTTCATGTATGTCAGAACATATATGTTTAATGTGGCTAGCACGTGCATCACAGACTTTTCAATGCATTTTTTACGAAGGAAATCTCATACAATTTGCTCCTCTATTGCCATAAAAAAAATGAGAATTTTGAAAATGTGGTAGAGTGATGAACTCATTTTGTACATGCAAAAGAAGACTTTTTATCTGATTCTGCATGACACTTAGGCTAAGCTGCGGGTAAACACAAACCCACTTCAAATGGACTACATGTGGAGGCATGAATTGAAGAGGCCCTGATACAATTAATGGCCGGAACTCTCTGATCAAACTATGCAAATACAATCTTTGCCCTTGCGGACTTTGGAATTGGGTATCTCTGATACCTGATTTTTTTTTCCTCGGGTGTCGGTGAATTCCGATACAAAGATTTCATCATTTTTTTTTCATGAACACGTATGTAAATTTACAATTTTATGAAAATTTACTCCTCTACTCAAATTGTTTCAGATATACGTGGTGTAGACGTACAATGAGTAGAGTCTAGCTTGAGGTTCAGCAATTGCTGGCCTTTTTGTGTCATCAGATTATTGAGAGCCATTTTTTTTCCCAGGTTGTAGAATTATACTTAGTTCTCTTGTTGCTTTTTGCTCCTGCAACATCAGACCAAAATTTAGGGCCAAACTCAACTGCCTCCAAGTTTTGAAATTCATTTTCTGAGTCCTTTTGCTCCGCATTCCAGGTGGCTTTAACTGTTTCAAGGAGCAGTACCCTCCCTTGTGCGTGACGCAACAGGATGACAACAGCGACTCGGACTCTGGCTCCATCACAGACCTGGGCTTTGACAACCTCAAGATTGACGCCTGCCACGAGACAGACTCGGAGACGCCCCTGGACAACCGGTACCCGGTGGAGATCCTCCCGTACCTCTTCCTGGGCTCCAAACAGGACTCGGAGAACTTGGAGCTGCTGCACAAGCTGGGCATCAAGTGCATCCTCAATGTCACGCCCAACATCCCAAACTGTTTTGAGAGCAATGGCCTTAAATACATGCAGATTCCGGTGCCGGACCACTGGAGTCAGAATCTTGCCAAGTTCTTTCCCGAGGCGATAGAGTTTATTGGTGAGAACCTGGATTTGATTTGTTTCTCTTTTGTCTGAGTTGCTGATTTTGTGTCTGTTCTCTCAGATTAGTTCATGTTATTGTTTATTTTGCACAGGCTCATGGTTTTTCCTTTAATGAGGTTTGCTGGTATGTCGCAACCTGGCTCATAATTGCCATTAGTTAATTGTTGATACTATAGTTTCAGAGAAGTGGGTGAGTTCAACTTCCACGGTCTCGCGCATGCATGCATGCAGTCATCTCATATTTTCATGCAGGAAGTACCAAAAGTGCACATCGTACATCTGGTGGGATGGAACTCATTTAGTTTGGGTCAAAGTTCAGACCAGGTGTAACTATATGCAACTTTCACTTTTGTGCCTACAATGTGCTGTACAGTCAGTCAGATGCCTTCCTGTCTCATGTCTCAGGTTTCAAGTTAACTTCAAGAGACATGTGGAAATCACATCAACAGAAATCTCCCTCAGGGTTATTTTGGGTGTCAGACCAGCTATATATACACATATACATGTGTATGTACATGTACATGTACAATGTACATGTACACCTGTGTCTTACTCTCAGAGATGATGGAAATACCAGACTGCTGCTTTTCATTAAAGGCATAATCACTAGAGTTTGTGGAGGAGCATGTTGATGGCCACTGCATAAATTACATGCAAAACTCGGCTGACAAAGAAGGGTTTTTTTGGGGGGTTGTGGGTTGCAGGGGGAGCACTCCCCTCAAAGACTTCAATTGTACTCGTGCAGGGCCTTTTTGAACTTAGTTCTTGTGTGATAGCTATTGCCAACAGCACATACAGTGTGCCAGTCATGGAAATAGTTTGGACTCAATAGCTTAGTTTAGTTTAGTTTGGTTTATTTCCATTCATCCATTTATCTTGTGACATAAAATTACATTGGTTAATGCACATGGTGAACAGTGGAGGCTGGCAGAAAGCTACTGTACTGCTTGTTCAAGGCCAGGCCCCATTATATACATGTACAATTGAATACAATGAGAAAACTTAAAGATTATTATTTCCAAGAGGAAAAAAGGGAACTTGTATATTTCTATCATTCAATCAATTGAATGAGGCATTTTAAACAATAATTAAGCTGGTATCAATACAACTTACAGCCGTAAATCATTTTCTACTTAGAGCTTGTTCAAACTCCCCAAACATACACATGTACATGTGTACATGTACATGTATGAAAATATACAGCACAATTAAATTTGGTTTCTAACTTATAATTATGACGTACAGTTTGTTATTGCTCCAGTCATTTCCTAGACCAGTTGAAGGCAATTCGTGTACTTCTGCATTCAGATCCATTGCTTTTAATCTTCTGTGCATAATTTGAAAAGTTCCTGTTTGTCATGTTTTTTTGGGGGGGGGGGGAGTTCCCAGCTCAGGTTGGACTTGGCCAGATCCCTTCAAGCCCCAGTTTTATGTTTGCAGTGCATTTACAGGAATTATTTGGACCTTTGGCTGAAGTTTGTTCAGTATTGAGCCCTGCATATCTACATTTGTAAAACTTTTCACCCCAGGCAGTTGTCCTTGGTCCATGTAGCCTCAAACACAGATTTCTGGTTGTTGTTTTTTTTTTGGGGGGGGGACTGTTTTTTTGCTTGATATACTCCAAATATTGAGTTTTCGGAGGCAGGAATGGGTAACTGTCCAGAAGCCCCAGATCCAACAGTGCATCATTCATAAATGACCTACTGATTTTGTCAGCATGTAGTGCATTATCCTCAACCTTTTATGCATTTCAAGCATGACCACACAAGTTTTCTAACTTTTTTTTCACAGTTTTGCCAACACCAAAACTATGTCCTTATACACCTGAAATCAATAAGCTTTGGGTGGTTTTCTCTTCAAGATGTATTCTGGGAGCTGGGAACTCCCCCCCCCCAAAAAAAAAACCATAACAAACAGGAACTTTTCAAATTATGCACAGAAGATTAAAAGCAATGGATCTGAATGCAGAAGTACACGAATTGCCTTCAACTGGTCTGGGAAATGAAATGGTTTTCTCTTACCCGATCTACTCAATCATCCTGTGCAAAATGGATAAAGTTGGAAGTGCCCAAAAGTGTAATGCCCATACATTTAAGTAATAGTGAAAAGGCATTCAATGGAATGCAAAATAACCATGTACATTTCAGCTTGGGAACATTCATCATTTCGATAAAACACAGAAAACGTTGGAGGCATTGTCACGCACAAGCACTCATGCAGAAAAATTCTCTTTGTTGTCCTGTGTTTGACAACACCCACGCTCCCCTTCCCAACTGCTTCCATTTGAGTTTCCTATTGTTCGTTTTGTCTTGGCTGCTGGCAGCTCATCTGTTTCTGTTTTTTGTGGGGTTTTTTCCGTGAAAAGACAGGAAATCAGCTTTTTCGTCATTTGACAGTGGTATCCTCATTCAGTGGAAAATGTATGGAAAGAGTGGGCCCATGGGTACGTTTTGTGTGTCGGTCTGTGCTGATGGTGTTTGTGTGGCAGGGTGAAGCTGACTCAGAATTTCCAAATTATAAAATCGAATTTTCTGGAAAAACACATGTATGTTTCCTCATTTCAAAAAGTCAATGTGGTACCATCACATTTAGTCTTCACCTCTGTGATTTAAGATGTGTTTACGATTCTTTAATTTGATCTGCCCGTACCTGTACATTACATGTACATGTACCGTATGTACCTGTATGTACACCTCACAGTATGAGCTACTCATGCGTAAATTGGCTGATAAGTTATTTTTACCTTAAAGAGGTAGGGAAAAGGAAACCTTCTTTCCCCAATTATAACTTTTAAACAAGAGGTGACAAGATCATCTTCCAAAATTAACGTGAAAAAATGGAACAGCCTCACCATTTATGAATTGAAAAATGTCCAAAAGGTGGGCTCCCGCGAGTCCCTCTTTTACTGATTTCAGAGGCACGCGTGATATGCCGGTGACCCTAAAATGTCATACATTGGGAGATGCAGCTGTTCACTGTGTGCATCTTCACATGGGAGTTTTGTTACAAAGGTATGCTCAAAATGTGGTGTTCTTGCGTGGTTCTTGTCCAATATGTTGGTTGTTCCATCCATCAAATTTAAGTCCATGATTTGTTGTGTTTTTGCCATAAAATAAAACATACCCTGGTCTTGTGCAGTTCGGACAGGTTTGTCGTACACTGAGACTTTGTCTCAAGGCTCCCATGCAATAACGCGTAGAATCGATTGGATTGTTTCCGGACAGCGCATTAAGGGTAGATTTTAAACCTTCCCGGTTCCTGGTTGTCACAGATACGTAATATGCCAAGGATTTTTGGAGGACTTCCTCGACAAATATCCAGTGTCTGCAAAAGCACTTCAAATTTAGAAAAGGGATGCATAAGCCTCGCCGACTGCTTGTGTGCAGCTGCTGGTGTAGGGTGCTGTGCTTCTGGACCACTACCAGATTTGTTTTTGGGACTGCCACAGCAGCAACACGGACAGGTTCTATGCCATCGTCCTTATTCATTGACAAGTTAAATTATAGTTTCTTTCATAGGAATTGAATCCACTCACTTTCATGAGAAGAATCTTATACATGTTTATCTTTTTTTTTGTTCAACACATTTAAAATTGTAGACTGTGCAAACAGGCGCGCACGTGGGTTGCTGTCTTTTTTCTGGAAGCTTTGAATGTACACACGTACCAGTGTAAGGAAGCCCATGATTCAGCCAAAGATTCTGGTCTGAGTATTCCTATACTGACCACGTTATCTTCCGTGGCCTATGAAGAGTCGGTTGCCACTGCACGTGAACATAAGTGCACTCTCAAATGTCACACAAGTTACAAACACAAAATTTGGCCTGGCATGTTTCCGAAATAAGCCCAGTTGGTTGTGGACAGAAATTGCCTCTTATTTCTCTCATGTTGATTTTCGGATGATAAATTCATTGTATTCTGGTTTCTGGGTGGGCAATCTACATGTACATGTACATGTACCCTCAAACCATGTACATGTACAGTACATGTAGATGGCATAATATTTGAAGCCTTTTCCCTACGGCTTTAAAGCTTTTAGGTAATTTAAACTGCGTTATTTAAAAAGTTGAGGAGGTTGTTTCTACTTGGCCTTTGGGACTGGTTTTATAAATACAATTTTTCCTAAACGTCTTTAGTATTCATGAAATATCAATATGTATTATGGATGGACATGTTTTCCTGTACCTTGCATGAAGTTCATCGTCAGTTGGATTACAATTTAATCTTTGCAGCAATGCGTTAATCCGTTATGTACATGAATGTTATAAAGTGGTTTTACCACTGTCCGATGTGCGCACAAATGTTTGGTGCCATTTTTCTCCATTCTTGATGTGTATTATTTATCTGAACAATACCCACAATAATGGTTTTTTTTTTCTATGATGCGTCTCCCCACAAGCACCGTAAATCATCTAGCGTGTTTTGCAGTCATATCCTGTCAGATTAGGAGCCATTCATTGTGTGGTGGGAAGGGATCCGCCGACAAGGATATCCGCCATGTCCTTGTTGCTGATTACAGTCATCCATTTCATATGTCTGACCTGACACATTTTTTGAAGCCAGAGGGGGACAAATTTCGAAAGATTTTTTTTTTTAATTTGGTGGCTTCAAATTGACAAGAATAGTAGCCTCGTCAGAGACTTACACACATGTATCCTGTGTTCTCAGTAACTTGATATTTGAAGGGAATTTCTGCAACATTGTGAAAGTGGAGCTTGGTGCAATGATCGTTGATATTTCATACAGTTTTATACGCGTGTATGCAGACCCAAATGAACGGTGTTTCCAATTTTTTTTTTTTTTAAATCATGAGGCAACACATGATCATAATCCTGTGTTTTGTCACAGAAAACACACACACGATTAACACAAACTAAAGAGAGAAAAAGAACGGTTAGAACGTTCACTTGGAGTGTTTCTCCATCTTGGCAGAAGATGAACCACATCAAGAAAGGCTTTACCCTTTGAGAAGCAGAGAATGTGAAGAGCTGAAAGTT